CCCGTCGCGTAGCAACGAGGAGGCGGGCGCCTGAGGGCGGAGCGGCCATTTTGGGGCCCCTAGGCAGGGCCGTGCGGGAGCCCCTCAGCACCCTGCCTCAGGGTGCTCTCCTCCCCAGGGGCACCTGGCAGCAATGGCCTCTCCGCATAAATCAGTCCCATCCCCCAGTTCCTGCTTTATCAGGCCTTGCGCTGCCTCTTTCCTGTCCTCACTGACCTGCATCTCCTGGGGCAAACCCTCCTGAAGGGGATCAGCGGCCTCACCCAGAAGCTGTCTGCCCGGCAGGCCAGGGAGAGCAGACACCGTGGGCGCTGTTGGAAAACCAGCAGAAAAGGGGAAAAGAAAATGCCTGCTGCTATCCTAATGCTGCAAGGACGTGGTCAGGGGCACGGCAGTGTCTGGACGCAGGACCCAGAGCTGTGCAAGGCTGAATTGGCCTTTAATGAAACACGTATGATCAGCTACTTCGTCTGAAAGCTCATCACGCTGGGAGTCTGTGGGGGTTTTTTTCCCCCCCCCCTGTGTTTGTACCCTGCCAGCACGCTGTGGCCAGTCAGATTAGCCGTACCCATCCTACACAGAGAGCAGTCAAGTGTCTTCAGCAGACAAGCGACCATTTTGTTGCCAATGACCTTTAATATCACAAAGCACGTTTCTCTCTCCATCCCGGAGATGAAGTGGCTCATCATAGTCACTGGCTTTTTGCAGTTTTCTGCAGCAAGTAGCCACTGGTTTTATTCTTGGTAACCGAGTCATTATCAGAAGTTTGCTGTGGAAGAGTTGTTTGTTCTTTTTTCCTTCTTTGTGAAATACAGTTAATGAAAGAAGAATTAACAAATAATGGAAGGAAGTCCAGTATATTTTTCTGGATTTAATCAAAATAGATTCAATACAACTTTGTAGCTTTTAGCTGGGAAGTTTTGTTAAGAAAAAAATGCAAGCAAAGCCAAATAATACTTTTAAAATACATTTGCCTTTAGCTCTCAGAAAGAATGTAGCATGGGTACATTACCAATGCTCTAAAGCATGAACTTAAAGGCAAGAACGGTACCACTCAGTGCTGTCTGACTGCTGCTTATGTGGTTTTGCTTCCAGTTTCAAGGCATAGCTTTTCCCTAGTGTAGCAATTATCAGTGGTGTCCAGGCTGCTGTCAATAATAATGCTACACAACACAGGAATGATAGAAACTCTGATGAAGGAGGTGTAAAAGAAAATAGAACTTCACGTCTGCAAATCGATTCTGCAGTTTTCCAATTTCCCCATTCAGCAATGGCACGGCCTGTGAAATTGTCCCTAGAAATATAAAATGAAAGGAAGGAGAATACCTCCACTCTTACCTTTTAGCAAATGACATTGCCTGATACAGTTAATTTCCTTTGGTGTGGACACTTAGGCCAGGCTGGATTAGTGTTCAAAATGCAGAAGCAGAATGGAGAATGCATTTTAATATAGATACCGCATCGAACTGGTGCTTTGGAGCACAAGGTTTTCTGGAAATAGCTTTGTAAGGTTTCTGGTGAAGCAAATAAATTGCCATACAAACGGGTTTAAATATTCTTTAAGAGGCATTGATAGCAGCACTTTTTCTTACTCTGAAGTCTTTCTGAAGTATACCACGCCATCACCCACTCCCCTCCCGGGACACCTTCATTAGCACTCCCTAACACTCACAAGATTTAGAACAGTGAAGCACTCTGGTGGAATTCCAGGGATCTGGCTTTTTCACCCAGCTCTGCATATTATTTGCTGGATCTCATTGCAAAATGAGAAGCATGTTGCCTGTGCAATTTGCTCTGAAATCCATGGCAGTCACCTAGCATATTAAGGCTAGATATTAAAAATAGCATTTGCATTATACACAAACATTAGAACAGGTTCTTTCAGAAATTACAAGATGCTTAATGAGTTCCAGCTCCCTTTCCTTCTGCTGCATCCTTTTCTTCCTCTCTTCTGTCATCATTTTGCCTGGGAAGTGATGCAGGCCTGGTATGTGAGTGTAGAACTAAAAGTCAGAAAATTTGGTTCTTGGCTTGGTGCTGACACTAATTTACTGCATGCTGTTGGTCGAATCATTTGATTTCATGGATTTTGGCTTTCCAGGAGACAACGGGGGGCTGTGAAGCCCTTTAAAGATGTATTGATGTAAATTCTTTTATCAGTATTATAATAGTCCTTGGTAGGGTGGTTTTGTTGTTTGACGGTGGGGTTTTTTTTAATTCTTCTGGTCAGCAATCACCGAAACTGATGACACCATTTTAAGATTTTGCAAGAATCCAAAATGTCCTGACTGGGATGCTTTCACTTATGCTTTAATTTCACACCTAATTCATCATTCCTGCAGCTACAGCTTGAAAACATACAGCTGAAAACACTCAGTGGTTTTTTCCCATTTTATATTCCAAAGGTTCAAAAGTAAAAATAAAATAATATTGACTGAGCAGGAACACAGAGTCCATATCTGTCTTTTCTAAGTGATTAGAAACGTTGCCCCCCATATGAACTCAGAACTGGCACTGCTTGTTCTGGGATTCTTGCCTTCAGAATAAAGAA